CCAGACAGATTTCTCTTTATTCGTACACAATGACCCCTCTATATTTTGTGATACCCTGACTGAATACTTGAAGTTCTGTTATGATACGTGCTGCTCGTGGGAAACTTTATACATACGGTCAGACCGCTTTTCGTCCCCCACAATTAAACGATTTCGTCGGAAGAAAGAACAAGCTTTCAAGGCGAAAAAGTACTCTTTGATGAGAGACCATTCGAAAGCAATCAAGGCTGAACTGCGGAGAGTAAACACCGCTTATGTACATGCACTGCTGGCAAACAGAAATTGTCGGGATACATGGAAAATGATGTTTGAGTGCTGCGGTCTCAAAACGAAGGAGAATCTTCCAGCTGCCAAGGTGGACGATCTCAATCGCTAATTCAGCAATGCTGAAACCGACACCCCTATTCCATTCACAGCAGTTGCCCTCGCTCCTAAGGTTGTTCATTTAAGTACTGATCAAACTGAAGTATTCAAAACCTTCATCAACCTGAAGTCTAACAAAGCATGCGGTCCTGATTAACTATCACATGTTGTGCTCAAAGAATGTGCAGTCTCCCTTTCCCCTGCTTTTACCAACCTAATCAACCTGTGTTTCACTAAACATTGCATTCCGGACTGCTGGAGAGTGGCTTCTATCATGTCAGTACCTAAAAAGGGACCCTCCAAATTTCGCCTGATTGCTTGCATTTCTGTGGGTTTGAAAGTCATGGAAAAGATTTTACTACAGAAGATGTTGCCCCAACTGAATGCACCTGATCCCAATCAATTTGCCTACTGCAGTTCTAGATCAGCCATTGATGCATTGGCATCCCTTATTCATTATGTAGCTTCCTCCTTGGACAGGAAATGTAAAGCTGTTCGTGTATGTTTCGTTGATTGCAGTAATGCCTTTAATTGTGTTGATAGGTGCAAACTTCTTCACACTCTTTCTGAGAAAGGCACTCAGCCGGAGCTTACCCATCTGTTAAGTAATTATTCCACCCATCGATTACAGTTTACTAAATATAAGGGTCGTGAATCTTCACTTTTACCCTCCACTCAAGGAGTTCTTCAAGGAGCTATTCTCTCTCCCTTCTTGTTCACAACTTATATTTCTTCAATGCCTGCTTTTGATGATTGTCTGCTCATTAAGTATGCCGATGATGTTGTACATGACATGAAGTTTTCGAATTCCTCCATGTACCCCAAACTTATGCGGAATATTTCACTGCTCACCGACTGGTCTTCACAACTCACTGAATCCTTCCAATTGTAATGACGTTTTCTTTTCTTTTCTGAAGGGTGACCGATATATTGATGTGATGAACTCTTGTCAGCATGTCATTATCAATGGTGAAGAAGTTTCCAGAGCATGCTCCGTCAAACATCTTGGAGTCATCATTTCTCGCAATCTTTCTTGGTCTTCTCATGTCATCAAGACATTTCACAAAGTCAGGAAACTCAACTTTTACATTATTCGTTTNCAGTTGCTATCTACCCCAAATCACTTAATAAAGCGTTTTGTTTTATCCTGTATCCTTCCCCACTGGTTTTATGCATCCCCTGTTATTTTCCCGGATCTTTTAATCAAAGACGTCAAGCTCATACGTACATCCATCAAACACGTATGTTGATACAGCGGCATATCCTGTGAGTATGTTATGCAATTTATCATTTCACAGCACCTTAGGGCATGCCAGAAACTTTCTACCAGAATACTACTTGACCCACTTCATCCACTGTACCCTCACCTTAGTCAACAATGTATCCCCACATCTAGCACTTGTTCCATGTATAAACATATAGCAGCACGCACCACAACATACAGGTCTTCCATGATACCGTACTTGGCACGATTTCTTACCAACGCTGATCTTGCCTCTTAAACAAAATCTTTGCTAAATTTCTCTTAACGGTTTGTATAGGTAAGGTATTATCATCCGTTTTTACTATGTAATTTCCAAAGAATAGTGATTGTGTAATAGCTAGGCTTGCTTCATAATCGATTTTCTCATCGTTTCTAATTGCGAAAAGTTTTCAACATAAATTTACTCCGTTCATCGGTTTTCACCAAAACGTTTGTAATCTGGAAAGTATATAATATATATAGTATACATATATACATATATATGTAGTATATCTATCGTCCCGTCCGGGATTTGAACTTCGGATCCATCGCATGGAAGGCGGGTGCGTCACCACTGTGCCAACCAGCTCGTTGGCGAGTCAACTCGTAACCTGCATGGAAGTCCTGACTTAGTGGAAGGCTTTCGATTGGAGTTAACAGATTGTAATCTGTGTCTCCCTTAGTAGCTGTCGGGCCAAATGAACTGACTGACTGTTAATTAAGACGATACCCGAACAAACATGAATTGGCTATTCGGTTCAGCCGTGGTATGATAAGTATATATATATATATATGTTTATTGTACCAGATATTTTTATCAATGCTTAAGAAGATTACACTGTGCTACATCAAATCTATTTCATTCTATTTGCATTCCAGTAATTGATCCTTCCACGTTTAAAGGAAAACAATTCACATAAATCAAAAATTCATTTATCTCTTATCTTAATTCTTCCCGTTTTCTGTTAACAGTGATAGTTCAGGTCAGGTCAGGTCAGGTCAGGTTTCTAGGACGAAAACAGGCTTTCGCCTAACGTGCGCCCAGATTCATACACCAGTAGGATTTGGGACTTCCTCTGGTGCTACGACGTGAATATTGTTTTCGTGGGTTGTCATGATTCGTTTACCTTCTCTAGATTCGGACAGTTACCCCAGCGAGCAACAATACCAGGGGTTTACTTCAGGTGATACTGTTTAGAGTTAAGTCAAAAAGGTTTACAGAAGGAGGAGCGGTAAGGATAAGAAATTACCAGTACCATTGTGGAGCCGCACTTTCGCACTCATATTAGAGACCGGCAGT